ACACCCAATTTTTCCGGTTTGATGCTGCCTGCGGCCTGCCGTCCTCTAGAAGGCTTACTTTGAGATCACTACACATGTGCCGGTTTTTGCCTTTGACCTTGACCTCTGACCTTGAAAATTGACCTGAGGTCAAAATTTTAGGTGCTTTAGAATCGTCTCGTAAGGACCTTTCGTTTGGTATCGCTTCTGTTACCGTAGCTCCCTTATTTACGGAGTTAGACAGGGGGGGGGGGGCGAAAAACGCCCCCCGGGCTGCGGTGGTTGGGATTACCCCCCGGGCCCGGCCGGGTTAAGGTGTAGACCTCGAGTCAAGGTCAGGTCATGGAGCCCCTCAGGCCTCAAGTCACGAAGTTGATCAAAGGATATCATATTGCATAGCATTCGATTCTGCAGGTCTTCCCGAGTCCAATGGTGTCTTTCCCGACTCTCTACTTAAATTTGATCGGGAGTTATTGACGAAAAACTCTTATGACCCTAGTGACGTCGTAAATGACGTCACGCAAGGTCAACAATGCAATAGTGAAGCATCGGACCTTGCAAGGAGTGCATGAAATCACGATTCCATGCAGGGACGTACCCAACGGGGGGCGTCCGCCCCCCCCCCCTTGGGTTTTTTAGGAGGCCCCAGATGGAATCAGGGCCCCGTGGGCCGAAGGTCCACGTTGGTTAAAATCACGTCGGAGGCGAACGAAATTCACGGGAATCCCCCCCCCCCCAAAAAAAAACACGTCAGGACAATCAGGGCCCTCTGACCAGCCTGACAAGTGACAGCTAGGGTCCTTCTTACTTCCTGGGGCCTCCTGTGAATAACCGTTAGTGTCTGTGTCTGACCGCTAGGGCCCCTCTGACTCCTCAGTAGAGAGGAGGCCTCTGAAGGTAGGAGGCCCTCTGTAAAGAGGAGACCCTCTGTAGAAAGGAGGCCCCCTGTAGAGAGGAGGCCCCTTTAGAGAGGAGACCCTCTGTAGAAAGGAGCCCACCCGGGATTCCTCCGCCCCCATCCCTTGGCAAAATTCTAGGTATGCGCCTGATTCCATGTGCTTGGGATAGTTTTAGATCATTCCCGGCGCCAAAATAGCAGTTTTCATATTTACCCATTGACTTAATAATGGTGAGGTCACGTAACCGACCTAACCACGTGTGACCTTTAGGAAAAGATCAGAGATATATACAAGTTGTGAGACCTCTGAAGGTCTCACAGATAAAACTTACATCTTCGTAAGTTTCATCTCCCTGTGAAAGTTCCTCTAGCACTGAGGGCGTTGCGAAGTTGCGACATCTGAGGACCGTGCATAGGTTCACTTATGTTATAGGTCACGTCACTGACCTGACCTGAGCTGAAAATACGGCTGATCTCACAAGATCCGGCTTGAGTCAAAGGTCAGGTATGCCAAGTTTCAGCTCTCCATCGCGGGCGTGTTCCGAGCTATTGCCAAAAAAAAAGTATGGGGGCGGCACCCGCCCCCCCCCCCCCCCTTGGCCGGCGAGTGCTCGACTTCGACTATTAATTGATGGGAACATATGCCACAATATGCGAATAAACGTAAGATAAGCACCGAATCTGTCCATCGTGCACCTGATAGGTACACCTCAAGAATTATTGCATGTCCGTCCCTCCAGCATCTCAACCTCCGTGCCTCACCGGCGAGCGACGCAGCGATTCAATCCATGAAGGAACATATCCGAATTTTTTCTTCCTAGATAGGCAAAACCTTTCATTAAAAGATGCACAAGTTTATTGCAACATCCTAGATGATGCAATAAATCGAGGCAAAAATGTTGCGATAAACATGTTGCGATAAATTGAAATTTGTTCATCTTGTGTTACGATAAACGCGAGAAACTAGTATGTATGTTAATGTAGATTAAAAAAAGGAGGGGTCCCAGGACTGTCCCCTGGGGGACGCCACTGAGAACTTCTCTGGCACGACTATGGTGACCATCAATACAAACGCTCATCGATCGGTTAGATAGGAACGAGAAAATGACCTGCAAGGTACTGCCCTGGACACCTAAGCACTCAAGCTTGGAGAGGAGGAGACTGTGTACTAACTACAACATCGAAAGCTTTACTAAAATCAAATAAGATTACGTCTACAACACGCCCTTCATCTACATGCTTAGAAACGCTGCCATAGACTAGTAGAAGCTGGTCAGAAGTGGATCTCATGGCTCGAAAACCAAACTGATGCGGAGAGAGGATCATGTGGGATTCAAGGTAATCAGTTAGGTGTTGGCAGAGGAGTCGCTCAAAGGTCTTGCAGCAAACGGAGGTGAGGCTAATCGGGCGGTAGTTTAGAGGATCGTACCTTACGCCCTTCTTAAATATAGGGATAACCATGGATGCCTTCCAGTCACTGGGTAGCTGACCTTCGTGGATGGCACGAGAGAATATCAAATGAAGGGGATACGCTAGTTGCGGAGCACAACTCTTCAGCAGTAATGGGTTGATATCATCAGGTCCCATAGCAGAATTACCATCAAGTGATTTCAGTACCTTGAGAACATGCTCCACTGGGAAAGTGATATTATCAATGATTCCCTCAAAATGTTGATGCGGAGAAGGGTTCCTCGGACAGTCTTTGGTAAAAACAGACGAGAATGAGGAGGCAAACGCCTCAACCATTTCTTCGGGAGAATCGGTAAGGCGACCAGAGCTGAGCAAAATAGGACCGACCGCAGGAGGTCCGACCTTTTTATTCCGGATGTACGAATGGAGGAGCTTTGGGTTATCCTTGGAAGTCAACATAAGATTTTCCTCATATGCAGCTTGGCATGAGGCCGTGAAACTTCTAAACTGGCTGGACCTGTTGACCTGTTGCTTTTAGCAGCTTTTCGCATTCATGCGCAGTTGCTAGCTCCATTGACTTTCGACGCTTTGTTCGCTCGCTCAGGTCTGAGGACGGTGCACTTTGAACGGGTGTGGTATCCTCGCTTTCGTCACACAATCTCTCAGTGTATCTCAGGAATTCCACTTCGACGGATAGCTTTACGTTTAGCTACTGCTCGTTCCTCGAACGAAACCGATCCTCCCTACGGCCGCATTGCACTCACTTTGATGATAGACTGGAGAGGACGCGTGCGATGTTTAAAAAAAAAAAAATCGCGCCCGGCTTTGGATAGCACCCGAGCCCCAACTACGCACTGCACCGCATTTCGAATCGTCTCGGGAGAGGTGGCATTCATCAACTACAATCCCTCACCAGATTGTAGAGCCCCCACCTGTCAATATCTGCACGTCACACACCTCGATCGGTTCGGCCATCGTAAACACACTCACACTCAGGGAACACGCACACCCAGCCCGCTCACCAGGGTTTCGGAGTCGTGGTAGTGCTCTTCCAACTCCGACTCCGGGCTCCCGACCGACTCAGACTCCGACTCCGACTCCGACTCCGGGTCTGATACAAAGGGCAATGGTGGCTGCCAAAACTCCGCGTGATATGACGCGCCATGTTAGGTCTACAGGGTGTTCGGAAAGTCCTGGCGCTTTTCAACATTTTTAAAATAAATGCCTTTGGTCCATAGATGCTCAACAATAGAACAAAACAATGACCAGGAACACCAAGCCACATGCTTCTGCTATGTGCCCATTCATTGTAACCACCGTCTGTGCCGACGACGGCCTCGACGCAAGGGCGGAAACGCCTGCGGGTTTTGACGATGCAGGACATTTCCTGCCCTCCCATGCTGTCATGATGCGAGTCTTCAGCGACTCCAGGCTGGGATGAGAGGTGGCCTAGAGCTTATTCTGCAAAACGCGTAGCATGCCTTAGTCGAGCGGGTTAAGGCTGGGATAATAAGGTGGCCTAATCTCATTTCACCACGGTGATCTGGTCCGCCGAGCTCCTCTGTCAGTTTAGTTTGGACGGCAGCAGCGTTGTTGGAGGGCGCTCCGTGCTGTTGAAGTGCGAAATGACCCTTAGGGCAAGTCGCCTTAATTGTCGTGTCCAGGAACCCCTCGTGGACCAACCAGCCTGTCTGACATTTATTTGAGCTTGACGAAGATGATGGAACATTTGTGTCCATCAAACCCCAGATTTTCTTCGATCGCCGCTGAAATGCTGCTTCAGTCTCAGCAGCTTTGGCATACCGTGGTCGTAACTAAGTGAGAATATTTTCTAAGAAATTTCCGATCCGGAATGCACCTTTGCCTGCTCAACCGTTCGCCGGGAAACGCCGCATCGCGCTGCAACTCGCGCTTCGTTCAAGCCGCGCCGGGCCCTGCGCGCGGGCTCTCAGCGACAAGGCGCATCTTCACCCATATACCTAGCACTGAAAACGGTTTCAAGGTCATATTTACGCGACCCCTAGCTGAGCGGTGAACGAGGGGTCATATCTACGGTGATTGGTTGAAAGTCCAATAATCACAGCGCGCGTTACACGTCCAAAAGAGGCGCCAGAACTTCCCGGACACCCTGCTCGCGCACCGGGAGATCGCTCCGGTTTCGCTCATGCGGTCACCATTTCTCCCACGTGGACGCAGCTGAATCCTTAGAGACCAGCGGCCGGCGGCCAGCTTGAAAACCCGCCGAGAAGCACGAGTGTGGCCGTATCATGACCACGGGCATCGCCATCATGTCGGTCTGTGTTTGTGTTAGGCACTTTTTTGGAGCGATAAAAGAAGAAAGCAAATATACAGTTGTTATTAAGTCTTTGGCACTCGATAGTAAAAGTTATAACACGAACGCAAAATGCTTGCCTACTAGATTATGACATGACTTGAATTTGTCAGACGCAATGTTAGCTTTTCAGAACAAAAACAAGATGTGTGAAAAAATAACTAATTTGTGATCACCGGAAGCGAATTTTGCCGTGTGGCCACTGGTTAAAAACAACTGAAAAGTGTTAGCACGGATTTTAGACTTCAGTTAACTTCCCGGAGTCGGAGTCGAGGCAGCTGGACCGACTCCGACTCCGACTCCTGGCTGCTTGCCACGACTCCGGGCGACTCCGACTTCGACTCCGACTCCGAAACCCTGCCGCTCACGCCCTCCTGGTGGGCGCCACTCTCTTCGTCTAGCATCATTTGGTCTAGTGCCTTTTGAGCTAGTGCAATTGGTCTAGTGCTTCAGCTGGTCTAGCGCCAGTTTGGCTAGTTTCGTTTGAGCTAGTGCCAAAGTGCCATTCATTTGAGCTAGTGCCTTTGGTCTAGTGCCGTAATTTCGTCTAGCTTTCAGCAGACTCATTTCCATGATGGAGGTGTATTATCATGCTTGGCACAATAATTAGACTCACGAGGAAAAGATTTTGCGGTTATTTTATTTTCTTACAGAACTTCACGAGGCAGCTTTCATTCCTTTTCTGTTTCGACTGAAGCGAGGTAAATTTGTTGTGTGATAGACGCAAATTACGGGTTATCGGCTGTAGCTATGGAAATTTTTAAGTCATCAAGGGGTGGGGACAAATTAAGCTTCGAAGGTTTTGTCTACCGAAAGAATACTTCAAATATTACCACTCAAAATTGGCGATGCGAAAACAAAGGATGTAAAGGATCTGTTTCAACATCATTACGATATCATACCGAAAGACAAGTTGTTACTAGGCAAATTCACAACCACCCCCCAGTTCCGGCAAGAGTTGAAGTTGTTTCGGCATTGGACAAAGCCATGGAACAGGCAGAAACGTCAAATTTGCGTCCAAGAAGAATTTTTTTGTATGTTGGTGACCTTAAGCCCTAGTGTAAAGACAAAGAAACCAGACTGACCTCCAGATGATGTGAAGACGATGCTGTAGTCGACGATGATGAGGAGAAGACGACGAAGAGAGGACGACGAAGAGAAGTGTGCACAAATTTTCGGCCCTAGGCCATCCTCAGGTGATGAGAGGGGAGGTAGAGGTAAGGAGGGGGAGGAAGACCACCTCCGACGGTCGCCGCGGCGAGGCACCAACTGACGCCCGACGGAGGTTTGAAATGACACCAGTTGGCGCGCGAGGTGACCTGCAGCGCCACCTGTCTCGGTAGGCCATCTGTCGGTCACCGTTCGGACTGGCAACTCCTTCAGCCGCCGGTTATAATATCGGCCATGATGTGGTTTGGGTGTTCAGCGATGGTCTGCGGTCTCGAATAAATAGCGATTCTGCGATTTTCCTGTTTGGGCCGTCTTTGCATACCGTCAAGATGTTGATGCGGAAGCAGTTGGTGATGTCTGTTTGTTCGTTTGGGTGGCAGGTAGTCATGTGGTCGCCGAGGGGAGTGTCCGGGTTTCTGTGCCGCGCGTCTCGGAGGTGCTCGTTAAATCTCAGTCGCACGCTTCGTCTTGTCTCTCCGATATAAATATTCCGCGTCTTTACTTTTTCACACAGCTCACAGGCTATCTCATAGACCACATTTTTTGTGTGACACCTGCCACCCAGACCGCTCATACAAGTCGCGCATTTGCGACCCCCTCCAGGGCAGGGGGGCGGTTCCAGAGCGGAGCGCACTAGGCTCTTTTTGAGGCTATTGTCGTTTTTCCACGCCACTTGGAATGCCAGCCCTGACGCCCGGACTGTGCCCTGGATTTTGTGAGCGAGCGAGTCATCGATGAATGGCAGTGAGATGAATGTTCGGTCATCTTGGCGCCGCCGCGCCCGGCTCTGTTCGGTCTGCCTTTCCCGAGGTATCGACATCACCTGGGCCGTAGAGGAACGAACCAGACGCGGCGGGTAACCGTTTGAGATGAACAGATCTGTCACCTTGGCGACACTCCGGTCCCTTGCGGCGGGGTCAGATGACAAACGCACCGCTCGTTTCAGCTGTGCCTTCAGCACAGACTTTTTCATCTGAGCGGGATGAGCAGAGTTACTGGTGTCATTTCAAACCTCCGTCGGGCGTCAGTTGGTGCCTCGCCGCGGCGACCGTCGGAGGTGGTCTTCCTCCCCCTCCTTACCTCTACCTCCCCTCTCATCACCTGAGGATGGCCTAGGGCCGAAAATTTGTGCACACTTCTCTTCGTCGTCCTCTCTTCGTCGTCTTCTCCTCATCATCGTCGACTACAGCATCGTCTTCACATCATCTGGAGGTCAGTCTGGTTTCTTTGTCTTTACACTAGGGCTTAAGGTCACCAACATACAAATATTCAAGTTGAAACAATGCCCTACATCCAAGAGGCGTTCCGACAATTAAACAAGGTCCAAGAAGAATTATAAGTGATATGAATTTGAGTAGAGAAGACACAACAGAAGCTCCAACTAGAAAGGCAATTTCGCAACGTATCCAAAGAAAACGAAAACATTCAGAAATCGGACATGAAGTAGCGCCACTCAACAGGTCAGGCATTATAATTCCAGAGAAGTACAAAACGACAAAACGGGGAGAAGAAGAGCATCGTTTCCTGCTGTATGACAATGAAGATGATGGAAACGACAGACTGATAGTCTTTTCTTCCGAAGTCATGCTAGACGAATTAAGCAAAAATAACATTTGGATGATGGACGGAACATTCAAAGTGGCACCTACTTTATTTCTTCAGTTATATACCATACATGTTATCATTGGCGGGCCAAATGGACACGTCTTTCCTTGCATTTATGCCCTTTTGCCCAACAAAACTACTCAAACATATATAAAGCTTTTCCAAATTTTAAAGGATGCTCGCCCAAATCTTGCGACTCATCTTTGCATCATGGACTTTGAGTTAGCTAGTAAGCGCGCTTTGTTAACTGAATTTCCTCAAGTGAGTGTAGCAGGCTGTTTCTTTCATTTAACTCAAGCGGTTTGGCGGAAAGTTCAGGGAGCTGGCCTAACGGAAAATTGCATTTCTCAACCGGAAGTTCGAGAAGCGGTGAAATCCCTCTGCGCTCTTGCCTTCCTTGACGTTGAAAATGTGAACGAAGCTTTTGAACAACTTCAAGAATATGTCGAGCAAATTGCCATCGAGGGATTAACAGACCTTTATGATTACTTTGAGGACACATGTATAGGAAGGCAAGGGCGCAGAGGGGTTCGCCGAAACCCCCAAATTCCAAAAGAAATGTGGAATGTTAAGGAAAGGACCATATCTGGCATACCCCGAACAACCAACAAGCTTGAGGGATGGCATCGGGGGAACGGGGCGAACGGGGCGCACGATACCCATACTCCAGGTGCAGAGGCGAGCAGTTGCTTCTTGCGAGGGGTGCGGAGTTGAAGCCGGAGTCGGAGCCGCCAGGAGTCGTAGCAACGAGCCAGGAGTCGGAGTCGGAGTCGGTCAGGAGCCCGCAGTGGAAGTCGGAACCGGAGTCGGAACAGCACCACCAAACTCCGAAACTCTGGCAGGGGTTCGGAGACGGAGTCGCCCGGAGTCATGGCAACGAGACAGGAGTCTGAGTCGGTTTGGAGCCTGGGGTCGGAGTCGGAGTCGGATTCGGCGCCACCACGACTCTGCTTGCCCTGCCCTGCTTCTTACTTCTTACTGCAACTCTCTAACCCTGCTTCTTACCGTACATAAATTAGGATTAGCCATTGCACGACTGACGAGCCGACCCGCTGCTAACGAAGCGACGGGTAGGTACGCCTCGGGAGATGAAGCTTCACAGAAGATTTTGCGCACAAGTGCGCAGCTTGCTTTCAGGTTCCCTTACGCAGAATTGAACACAGATTTATTCCGCCAAAAACTAAATGGAGGTCGATGGAGATCTTTTTGTATGTCCAATGAAACATAAACGTAATAAAATCACTGACAAAACCTGAGTCAAAGCCGTTCGAATTAAAGTCAGACACCGAAGCACCCTCCAAAATGTGTATAGAACACAAGTCATTGCTGACGCTGAAGCTGATACTTCTGTAACATAAAATCCCGACCTCAAACTAACACCGGCCAAATTGCCCCACCCCACCCCCACCTCCGGCCAAACAACACTGCTAGCTGGGTAATTTTACCGCTGTGCAGACCTTTGTAATAGGTCACGATTTCAATATAGGTAGTTACTCTATCATTTCAGGTTTACTGTCCAGGAACGTAAAATGAATGAGACACCTGCCAGCATTGAGAAAGTGCAGAAAGGTGTCGTCAATTTTAAGATATATCGCTTTCTAAAAAAACGACCAAATTTCCCCGCTCTCCCCTACACAATTTGACTTTTGATGACTTTGGTGACCTGACTTTTGACCTGAACTAAAAATGAAAGAAGTATTTCAGTCATTATTTTTTACGCTCTTTCGAATATCGGTTACCGCGTGTCGCTACGTGGCCCAGGAGCCGAGTTATACGAATTAGATCAGCTCGACCTTGACCGCCGCCGGGTCAGGACGCGACCGCGCGCGCTCCGCGAGCCGGGTGAGCAGTGAGCGAGCCGAGCGTGTTGTGTCGCGCCAGTCGCCACACACAGTTGAAACCGCAGAGACAGTGACTCATCGTCAGTGACTGTGCCAGTGAGCAACCGGTAACAAGAGAATGGAGGACGCGGAGATGAAAGCCAAGTTTTGGGACACCATTAAGGATCCGGACACTGCAGCCGTGCTGGAGGCCGTACTCGCTCCTATCGTCGCCGCGGCCGTCAGGGCGGCGATGGAGAGCAAGGAAGAGGAGATCGCCGTGCTGAGAGGAGCATAATGAGACGAAGGCGAAGCTGGACGACTTGGAGCAGTATTCTCGCAAGAACTGCGTGAACATCTCCGGCGTCCCCGAGACGGCGAGTGAAACCACTTCACAGCTGGTGCGAGATCTGAGCAAGATCATCAACGTCGATATCAGCCCGACGGACATGGACGCCTGCCATCGCATCGGGCGTCAGACCGCTGGAAAACCCCGCACGATCATCGTGAAGTTCGCCCGGTTCGACCAGCGCCAGGAGCTGTTCGCGGCACGCAGGCAGCTGCGAGAAGTGGCGGCGCCAGCCGGGGGACGTTTCACGGCCAAGCAGCTGGAGAAGATTTTTGTCAGTGATAACCTGACTCAGCACCGACAGTCGATACTCTACGCAGCCCGCCAGCTGAGACGGAAGGGGAAACTGTTCGTGGAATGGAGCGATGTCGGCCAACTGAAGGTTCGTGTTACCAGGGGTGGTGACACTAAGCACATCACCTCCTTCGACGACCTGCGCAACCTGGCGGGAAGCGACCCCGACCTGCCGTGCGCCGAGTCCGTCGCCCGCCCTGCGGCTGCCGCTGCCGACGCCGTCGCATCTGTGCCGGCCGCTCCCACCGAGCGGCCTCCTGTCACCAGGGGCAAGGGTAAGCGTGGGGCTCGCTCGCTGACTGGCTTCAGCTGGTCCGTCAGGCTCTGGCACAGGCACCGCACAGCCACAGCCGCGGCGGACGGCTCGGGCTCTGCCACGGCGGGCTGGCCCCCTGACGGGACCAACACCGGCACCGAGACCGCCGCTGGCGCGAAGTCCGCCTCGTTGAAGACGTCCCTGCTTAAAGGCGACACACCAGATGTTGCGAACCCGTTCAGGATGTTCTTCCTGGTGAAGCTGCAGTCGTAGGCGCGCCGGAAGATGTCCGCCATCTGGTACAGGTCGATGCGCCGTCCAGGATTTGTCATCTGGTGGTCATGCAGAGCTCGTTTGTAGGCGGACTTCATCGGCCCGTACAGTAGGTCTACTAAAAAAGTCCCCCGCTCCAGAGGCGGCCGGCCGGCCGAACCCCCGGATTCCAGCCCCGACTCTATTGCGCAGGCCGCGGTAGCGACACGGGTCAGGTCGCGGCGCCCGGCGAGTGGGTCAGTTGGCGGCGGCCGGCCGTGGGGTGAGGACGCCGTGTGTGGGGCGCAGAGATGCCGCGGTGCAGAGGAGGGGAAGATAGTGACTCTGCACGATGCCGGAAAGGATGCCTTTGTGATCTAAATTAAACACCTGCACTGCAGTGCATATCCTCCCTTGCCCCAATCCCATTTTATCATAATCCTTCAATAATCCGTAATGGCCATTCAACGCAAGCAAGCAAACAAAATAACCCGTTTAGCGGCGACATCATCTCGGATAAAAAAGCGACAGTGATGATTAGAATAGACTTCGCGCGAGGGCAAATCGAGGGGTATAACTATACCTATATATCACATACCGAGTATTTTATTCCCATCTAGCGAATTAAAATTGGGGATCTTGTCCAACAAGTCAGCGGCCGTTCTAGACACAGATAAATGCTTTGTTTTCGGTCGCATCATTATCTGCAATAATTCGAAGCGAGGTTTAACCCTCGCCGGCCGAGAAGAAGGGGTGGATGCCGCCACCATGTTTTTTTGCGGTAGCTCAAAGCACACTGATGATAGAAGGCTGACATTTCACATGCCTTACATTTCATTCAAGCCGAATCACTTGACATCAACCACGTTTTCAGGTCAGGTCACTTAACTTAACTTAACTATGACGCCTAAGTTAACCTCTGCACGGTTGTCGCCTGTCGGTTATAAAATGATGCAATCCGCAATGCACTTAGTCTGATATAAGCATAATGGAGAATTATGGAAACTATTAATGTGGCGTCGGAAATGATATCCCGCGCCCCGCTGGGCTATTCAGCCATACGCGCCCTGCTGGGGGGGGGGGGCAGATTCTGCCCCCCCTGTCTAACTTCCGAACCGATGGTCGTAGAAAGACGGGGAAAACGGCAATCGAAAGCTCTCAACAAGGCGGATCTTAAGAGCCCAAATTTTTTGCTTAAGTAGGTCAGAGGTCAGGTCAAGGTCAGGTCAAGGGTACAAAATGCGAGTTTCTACAGTATTGGCCTTGCACCGTAGTTGCCGAAGAATGGACTGAGACTGATTGCCCAAAACGTGTTCTTAGACTACCAAGACAATATTCGTTGCACACAATGTCATTCAAAGGTCAAGGTCAAGGTCAGGTCAGGTCACCAAAAACAAAATATAGAAAAGGGCATGTGCGACACATGTTTTATGGGTCATTTTACTCATGGAATTCAATAGGCACACTCAATAAGTGATATGGACCACCTCTGGATGAATTTCAGGTCGAGGTCAGGTCAAGGTCAGGTCAAGTGAGGTCAAATTTTGAAGTTGGTTGTTAAGGCCTAAAAAGGTGTCTATCCGATGCAGTTTTTCACGGCGAATCGAATGGTGCTATTTTTATTTCCGTACGAGGTCTAAAACTTCCAAAAAAATCATTTTTCAAAATTTTTGTGTGTCGTGACGTCATAAAATTTTGAATAACTCCCACATTTTTGAACCGATTCTTCTAAAAATTGGTATGTAGGTGCACATAGACCACTTCTTTGACATATATTCCGGTTTTTTCGATAAACTTAAAATTTTGGATTTTATAGATATTTTTCAAAAAAAGTCAGTTTTTTGGAAAAAATTTTGGCCAAAATCCAAAATTTTCAAAAAACTGAGATAGCCATTTGATAGACAATGTAGAATCACGTATAACTTTTTTTGTTACGTCTTGATTCCTTTAAAAATGAAGAAGTTAGCGGCGTTTGAAATTTTGCCGTTTTTTAGGCGAAAATGGCGAACATGACGTCACTAAAACGTCAATTTCTCAAAAAATTTCCGACGGATTTCGCTCAAATTTTCAGGGAACGTGTCAAATTGATGTATGATAAGGTACTGAAAGTTTGACGTCGCTGGCGTAACGCGTTTAGAAGTTATTGGCGAAAAACGGGAGGGGGGGGCAGATTCTGCCCCCCCCCCAGCGGGGCGCGGGATATGAAACTACCTCAAGCACATGAAATCGTGACTTCATACATTCTTGGCAAGGTCTAATGCTTCACTTTTGCATTGTTCACCTTGCGTGACGTCATTTATGACGTCACTAGGGTCATAAGAGTGCTTCGTCAATAACTCCCGATCAAAATGAGCTAGCCAGTCGGGACAGCCATCAATGGACTTTGCAAGACTTGCCGAATCAAATGTTATGCAACATGTCCTCCTTTCAACAGCTTCGTGACCTGTGTTGCCCTAACATGACATTGACCTGAGGTTTACATCCTAAATTGCTTCACCTAAACAAAAAAGCATATAAATCGACGCGTCTGAGAACAGAAAACACGATTGTATCGAAATGACGATAATGCGTTTAGCTATTAACCAAAAACTGATCAAATGCCTTGTGGCCCTTGACCTGCCCTAAGAGCCAAGAGGTCATTGATATTTTAAAGTGACCATCCCACCTTAACATTAGTTTTGAGTTGAGATAGCCAAATTGATGGCCATGGCCTGCAAATACTGGTTTGGGCACTCACAACATCGAAAAATGCTTTAATTCGGAGAAATGGAGTTTCAATTCAAACTTGCAGTATTCGGATTCTAAGGGGCTAATGCATTGGAATGCCCCCTTAGAATTTGTGACGTCAGCGGAGATCTAACGATTTTAAACCTTTGACTAAAACGTTTGGTAGCACGCGGTGGTATACGCTGCTTTCCGCGCAACAAGTGCCGCACTTTCAAATAAAGTCGCTAGGAACAGCGGAGATGCCAAAAAGTAAACAAAAGTAAAGGTCTAATATCTTGAAAACTGGTGAATATTTTTCGATGAAATTTGGTAGATATTCGTTTTTGCTCTTTTTGAACCTAGCGACATCACTTTCATGCCAATTCATTAACTTTTTTGAAGGTGGGAGGGTCCCTTTAAAATGGGGTACCAGTCGCTGCGTCACGTAACGACGCAAGCGCTCGTTTTTTCCGCGAGGATCTAGCAGCTAGCTCAATTATAGGAGCTAAACATGGGGTCGGGGAATCGCTCCCTTCTCACTCACTATTTGGCCGGGATAGTGTTTGCAATTATTGTTAAAATCTAGCATTTTAAGATTTCAAATGATCCATTTTCCCGCCCAAGTCTTTCAATTCAAGGTCATAACACCAGGTCACGTCAAGTGACCCTACCTCAAGGAAAGTTCCTGTGCTCATCATATCTAAATACACCGACTAAACGATCGCTTCAGAACTTTCAGCGATTTTAATGGGCAACAGTATATGTATTTGAAACGTTTACTTTGCAAGTTTGACATTGTTGACAGAAAGGCGGGGTCAATTTTGAGATCGCTTAAGTAAATGGGAGAAAATTGAACTGCGCTTTTTTACGGGACGCATAATAAACACTCTGAAAGCATGTGGTGCTTGATGAGATACAACACTGAATGAGAAAATTGTTTGTTTTGTTGGGGGCCATCTTTTTCGGTCTGAAAAGGCCCTTACAGAGCTATGACATACATAACCATGCTCTGGTGTAGTAATTGGGTTGTGCGAGCCAGCGACAGTGATCTGCGGAAGCCAGACTGCTCCCGTGGGACGATTGCCCTGTCGGGACGGTCCAGCCGTCTCCCAAACGGTCACCCGAAGAGGATTATGTGTCCTGAAATGGATCCGACATCAACTACAGGTTGGCTGGTGGCCTACAGGTTGGCCTCCAGTCCAGAGAGGGAAGCATGAAGACTAGGGGCGATGCGGATCGGTTTTTCCTGAGGATAGCGAGGACGGAAGGAATCTAGCACCCTTGAACCTTCCTTATACTGAATGTATCTGAGGCTGTTAAATCTACTAAGCGCTTTTTCTCGACATCGTCAAGGTGTAATTAACAAAATATGAAATCCGGGAGGATAAATTAAATATAGAAATTGTGGCCAACAAAACATTATCAGTTGCGCTCAACATACTCGTAAGCATGTTCACACACCCATCTTACATATGAGCCATGTAATAATTATTTTTGATAGACATGCTTAAGTTATGAAATCATCTGAAGTGTTTGTAAAGTTCCACGATACGGATCTAATATCCTGCTATGCATTATGACCATTTCTGGTCAGGTCATGTCTTTGAACATACGCCAAATTTTTCAAATGACCTTTAAAGATCAACTTTTGATTCATTCGAAGCGTTTTGATCAGAGGAACACGAGGCTGGTAAAATTAATTTCATGCAAGTTTTAAGCTAAAAACTTTTAAGTGTTTGTGGAAAAGTAATTGGTTTTCTCATAATACCAATGGTGGCAGTTGTTGTTATTTACATGCTAAGCCGTTCACCTTAATTAAATCTGGCAATATTATTCAGACCTAGCGGTAAACGAGCTGATTGTTGTGTTAGGTTAGGCTCTTTCGGTCGATTTCAGAGTGGGAAGGATGACAGGAATTAGGGGGAGACAGGGGGCCTGGGCGGGAGTCCTGGCCCTCATGCTCCGCTGGGGCCGAGCCCATCACGTGGGTTGGATTGGATTGCCCTGACACATGGATACTGGATAGCCCTGGGCGGTGTTTCACGGCCCTGCGCTGCGCTGCTGCATTGTTGCGGCGGATGATAAGAATTCGGCTCCGCGCTAGCGTTGCGAGCTTCCGAGTCTGTTGATGTTTCCATGGAAATTGGAAACCCAATGCACCGGTGCGCGCAACGCACCCTGTCTAAGCAAAATGTTACCACCGATGACCTCTAGTGACATGACCTCTGGCTATGACCCGATCCAAAATTGGCTGAAGTGTTTTTTTCTTCTTTTTGCTACTTTTGACGCTACTTCGAATACCACTCAAATGCCCAAAGCTGAGTTATAAGAATGATGCTCAATCCCAATGGGGATGTTCGGCTTATTTCCTCACCAGGTGGCAGCACTGCCTTCTTTGGACACAGAAACTGTGGCGGCGAATGCGCCACTGTGTTTTGCACTGTGTGGAGTCCGTGCGGTGTCGGTTCGGGGGACTGAATTTCGGTGAATTTGATAGCAATTGATTTGAATTTTGCTCAGATGGGTTGTGAATTTATATTCAGCAAGTGTCACAAACATGGAAAGGCAAGTTTACAAAGGACAGGAGACTTAGAAAGGCTTCAGTTGACGTAGCCGAAGAGAGGCGAGAAGCCGAAGATAGACCGACTCCAAACGGTAATTCCATCGATGTAACACGTTTCCCGACATTTTTTTTTTATGGCGAGCATAACTAAGAGTATAAAATAGTCTAACTTAACTCATAGCTGGAACTTGTATTGCCCATATGAGGTAATTTACCTGTATAAGTTTATTGGCATATCAATATAGGAAATTGACCTGCACCCTTTGAGAAAGGCATTAAAATATGATACATGCTGCTGAGAATGAGTATATAAATTCAAGATTTATTGCAAGCATTTTAGCAGTGTTTTACTTTGTCTGGTACCAAAGATATTGCAAGCAGCTAAAGGTTATGATGGAAAAAGACAAATTACTATTTTGACACCAGCAACCAGAAGGTGTATGTAATAGAACACTAAGCTACCTACTGTTTATGAATTGTTGCAAGTATTGATCATCCTACATGGTGTTACAGGTGCCCAGTGCAATAATGTTTCTGGTGCGGAGTCGTCAGGATGGAGTCCGAGGAATCAAGGAAGGCAGAGGACCTGCGTATGAAGGAACCAGCCCTGCGGATGAAGTTCTGAGGTGCATACAGAGGAATCCCACTGAAAGACCAGGTAGGAGTTGGTGAACAGCTTGTGCACTGCAGTATATCATCCAGAAGTAACTAATAGCCTTTCTTGCAAAATGTTTTTTTTTTAACTCATCACCACCGAAAGCTACTCATTATTGATATAATATCTTCATTTCATCAGGTAAATTATTGTTTACTCTAAGTTTTGATTTACACTGAAGTGAACACTATTTTAGAATATTTACTCAGCTTTTTTAGCAACTAAATACGGGCAAGTTTTTTGTTGTTTTTTTAAAATAAATTTTCACCTTCTAGAATATTTGTATAGGTAACTGCAATAAAAGTGCATTTCAAAATTGCAAATACTTTGTGTAAAGTTCATGGGTCTTGATGAAGTCACTGTATCCAGTTCATCATATCAGATTTCAACTGTGCTTAAACTGCAATGTTTTGCTAATTGCTTCAGTATATAATGTCCTTTTATCTATTTATAGTCACCGTGCTTTTATCCTATCCATGTGTAATCGGTAAGCTTTGCGCCGATTAAAGTTTATCTGTTTCACCGGCGAGAGGAGCCCGGTGACCATATGATGTCTGGACTGGAATTTAATTCAACGGTTTTGCGCGTGATCGTCTGCTATTCAATTGTTGCTTCAGGTATGAACTCGAAGCTGTCCTAGATAATGTAATTAAATGTTTTTTATTGTGTACAGCATATTATTAGAATGGTAAACACTCTTGTTCATGCTTAGAGGCTTTACTGACCAATTAGTATAATGTTTTATATAGCGGATGCCGCGATCGGAGCATCTCATGTGCACTATGTTTTCGCCCATTCAGCTGATCACGGAGGTGTTCGGCTGACTGTGGGCGGGGGGTCTGGATCGAGAGCTCAAGGAGTGAGGTTGCGCTCCTGGCTCTGTTAAAATGTAAACCCGTGTTTACTGAAGGTGAATCGACATAATCAAAAGTGAAGAACATTACATTGTATTTAGCTTTAGGTTACATTTTAACAGAGCCAGGAGCGCAACCTCACTCCTTGAGCTCTCGATCCAGACCCCCCGCCCACAGTCAACCGAACACCTCCGTGATCAGCTGAATGGGCGAAAACATAGTGCACATGAGATGCTCCGATCGCGGCATCCGCTATATAAAACATTATACTAATTGGTCAGTAAAGCCTCTAAGCATGAACAAGAGTGTTTACCATTCTAATAATATGCTGTACACAATAAAAAACATTTAATTACATTATCTAGGACAGCTTTGGTATTTTTGCACAAATCTGTGGTTCCTAAGGGACAATATTACAAGTTTGTGAGACCGTGGAAGGCTGCGGTGATTGTAGCAAAGGTAGGGGACTTGAACTATCGTATCAAGGTCACGGGCTCCAGGAAAACATTACTGGTTCACCATAATCGTTTGAAGCCGCGAACTGAGCCGATAGTTACCCCACCTGTGCCAGAGGTCACTGAGAGTCAGGATGGGGCTGGTGCTGATGCTGCGTCACCGGTGACACGCGCTCAGACCACGCCGCCAGCAGAGATAGAGTCGGTCTCCGTGGACAGTGGGTCAGCGGATGGCCCGGCTGGTGTCACAGCCTGGGCACGATTGCCCATCATCGGCACAGCTGTGCAAGGTAAGGAGCCAGCGATTGAGGAGCAATCGTCCGGCACAGTTCAGATGGCGGTGCCGACACCCGAGTGTCCACCGGTACCCCCGCGGTCTGAGGTACCGCCGCCGGTGCCAGCCAGACGGTCCGAGCGACGGACTCGACCGCCTGATCGCTTTGTCCCAGGCTTGTAGGTAGCCTGATTAACATGAATGCTTCAAAAGGCAAGAGGTAAGAGGTGCGCTCAAATTAACGTAAAATCAGTCGCCCTGATTTTCCTTTTAACTAGCTCAGCAGACAATCGGTTGGCTCCTGGCGCCGGAGTGCGACAGATTTGTTTAACTCTTTATGTAAAGAGAGTGTGCGCGTCGAGCTAGATTCGGTCAATCCCTGGGGACGTTTCTGATTGACATGTCAATGTCATTAAACTCAGTTTGAGTAGGAGCCCTCTAGCAGCCTGTTCAGAGCATCATGGCATGGGATGTAAATAGCATGGTCGGGTTAACCTGTGTTTGGGATGGGACCCAGCGTACCCATTGCCATCATTGACGGTTAGCCATACCTGTTCAGCTAGCTAGTTGATAAGTGAGCGATGCTGTGCGAGATGACGTGTTTGTGTTTTTCGTTGTTGCTGACTGCCAGTCAAAGTCAGCCGGATGCTGCCAGGCATCATCTAGCGACCACGGTGTTATGGTGTCGCGTGGCGCGTGCTGCAACTGCTGATGTTATCACATGAGTATGAGTGTTACTAGATGTAAGTGCACGCCTTTCATTCAAAGGAGGGAGAAGTGTAATCGGTAAGCTTTGCGCCGATTAAAGTTTATCTGTTTCACCGGCGAGAGGAGCCCGGTGACCATATGATGTCTGGACTGGAATTTAATTCAACGGTTTTGCGCGTGATCGTCTGCTATTCAATTGTTGCTTCAGGTATGAACTCGAAGCTGTCCTAGATAATGTAATTAAATGTTTTTTATTGTGTACAGCATATTATTAGAATGGTAAACACTCTTGTTCATGCTTAGAGGCTTTACTGACCAATTAGTATAATGTTTTATATAGCGGATGCCGCGATCGGAGCATCTCATGTGCACTATGTTTTCGCCCATTCAGCTGATCACGGAGGTGTTCGGCTGACTGTGGGCGGGGGGTCTGGATCGAGAGTTCAAGGAGTGAGGTTGCGCTCCTGGCTCTGTTAAAATGTAACCTAAAGCTAAATACAATGTAATGTTCTTCACTTTTGATTATGTCGATTCACCTTCAGTAAACACGGGTTTACACATGCATGCTAAACATATGTATCTCATTATGACTTGCCAAGATCTTTCCCTGTCTTATGCCATTTTTCATTTATTCACAGGTGCAATGCTGCATTGATAAGATCCAGGTTCAAGAGCATGGATGCTACCAGATCCTGTGATTTGAAGTTACCAGTGTCACTGCTGCTACAAATGACATCAGCAACACTTCCTTTGGTGAAAGTTTAGAGGAGCAAACAGTTGGTGCTCTGTGTACAGGGCTGGAAAAAGTGTTTCGGTGGTTGTCGTCCAAAGGAAAAGGGCTTATTTGGTTGTCAACTCAAGATGTCTAACCCGCGCCCCGCTGAGGGTCCTTGATTTCCACGCCCTGCTCGGGAGGGGGGGGGGGGGTCAAACACCCCGCCCTTTTAACTCGGATCCTGGGTCACGTAGTGACAAGCAGTAAACGGCATTCGAAAGAACGTCCAAAATAAGGACGAAAATATGACATTCGTTTTATAGGCTAAGTCAAAGGTGAGGTCACCAGAGGTCATCAAATGAAAGATATTGCCTTTCAATTTTTTTTTTTTTTAAACACCGGCGCACAACTCGGGAACCAATTATAATAGAGCTGTAGCCTGTACAGCGCCGCGGAAAAGATAATTCCGCTCCTTTTTGATAGCGCAGGGCGCACAGCCGTCAGGCTCAATTGTCCGACGATCCGTGTTCCTCGACCTCGGAAGTCCTGAGCCACCATATCCTCGTGGGCATGACATGGCGTGCCCTCCCCCCGGCCTCATCAAAACATTACCGGCAGTGACACGGTCCCATTCAAGATGTCCCGCCGCGGACCTACCCCCAGGCGCCACCGGGGTGGGTTTTGACGTCACAAAAGGAGCCCCGGTGGATTGGAGGGGACGGCGGGGGGCGGCGCTGAAGGGTGCGGACAGGGACCGGCCGAGTCCTGGAATGTACTAGATTTGCCAGACACGTGTTGCCAGCGGACAACCACGGCGACCACTTGGTATGCAATTGGTCGTCTTGATGAGGGTCGCCGATCGGCCGTCCGAACGATGGTCGAACGACGCAGTATATACTAAATAGCTACGGGGAGTTGGAATATGTCTGTGGCTACCAGGAAATTTTCCATTGGGATGCCGCCGCGTACGGGAGGTAACGGACTCGAGAACTGCGAGTCGATATGAGGGGAGGGACAGAGAATGGTTTGCGTGGGCAGAGGTGATTGGGTTGCGTGGGCAGAGGCGGATGGATTGTGCGCTTCTAACCGCACTAAGCGGAAGGAGTTAATCAGTTCAGGCGCTGCGCTTGGTCGCTATAAGATCGTCTTCTCGGTTGTCGTCGACAACGACAAAACGATACAATTTTTCACCCCTGTCTGTGTAGTCAAGCAGTGGAGTTTTGCCACAATCATGAAGTTGATTAAGGTGTCAATTTTTGCTCTGGCTTCGGGGACACCTGGGATCTACATTGCAACCTATGCTAGTGTTCAACATTTTGTGTCATAGTATCACTGATGCAAAGCGTGTTGCATCATACACAAATGAGAGCCAGCAAATTGTCAGATATTTTCTAGTGATAGAGAACTGCATGCCTTAAGCAATTGTTGAAGGTGATAAGTGGTGAATGGTAGGGCTCAGCCACTCAGCTCCTTCCTTCAAAAGCTATCAATCAGCTCTAGAAGAGCTGAGTAGGGGAGAACGGGGTCAATTGTAACATTTTTTGCATTTTATCATCTGGTGCAAACACGTTTGCAGTTATCAAGCTCTTTCTTTTATTTTCAGAAACTATGATGTTTTGTCTTTAAAATGCAGTTAAAACATTTCCGAGATAACTTCTTTTTCGGGTCAAAATTGTTGTCCGAAAAAGTCAATTCAGCTGTTACAATTCACCCCAGATACGGGGTCAAAAGTAACACCACCCGGGGACAATTGTTTATTGTAACATGTTAACTTACAGGCTAGAGCAACACAATTTTTTTCCAAAACTTTGATTTAATAAAAGTATTGAACACTTGTTCATCTTCCCAGACTTGGTAGGTACGGTTCTTCTCAGGAAAAAGGCTTAAAACCTCGCACTTATACAGGGGTTGGATGGACCTCCTCACCCTCGGTTTTTCGCAAATAAATCGCGTACAAAGCTGCCGATTGCGACAAAACTTTAAGTTCTCTTAATTCTAGCAATGTTTCATCTCCCTTGAAAATTTGACGACTTTGACATAATGGCCACTGACCTATAACCTGTTACATTTGACTCCCGCAAAAAAAATGTTACAATTGTCCCCGTCGCGCCTTGACATATTTGAGACGAAACTGGCGCAAAAAGATGTTGCATGTACAGCATTTAATGCTTTCAATTTATGGACAACAAACCTACCAACGCTTACACAAGGTCTGAAGTCGATATCTTTTCAATGGCGGGAATGAGCTAATCAAACATAACGGTATAAAAATTTACAAAATGCTCTAAAAAACACATTACAGTGCACAGCCATCGACATACCCGGCACTTTCGTTTCAAACTCCGTTGGGAAAGGCAGTATAGAATTACGCATTTTCGGTCTTAACATCAGCTCATTCTATTGGTAAGTTTATGAATTATTAACACTGTTACAATTGCTCCGTGTTACATTTGACCCCGCTCTCCCCTAGTCATAGCAATGCTTCATATGTGAAGGCTACTTGACTGAACAGAACATTGTGGATTTGTTAATTAAGTACCTCTTTATTACAAGTTTGTGCCCATTACAAGCCAAGCTTAGTTTACTTAGTTTGTTGCAAGTTTTCCAGGCAGCCTTCACACTTGTGTCGCTGAATATTAAACTTTAACTGAAGACCGACGAGATATTGTCCCTTTCGCATCAGATTGTAATCAGTCAGTCGTGTTGGTAGAAGGTACAGTCTGTCTTATAAGTACCGCGCAAAGTGACGGTGGATCCATCAAGCCTGACCGAGGAAGGGCCTGCTATAATTTTAAAGTCACCGAACCAAATGACCTGGGGAACGGACGAGGATGTCATGTAGAGCCACGCAGAAAACGCCGGTGATTCGTTGCCCATCATTACAGAATGAACGCATGCCGGATGAAGGGTTAAGTCAATAGTCTGTACAAACTATATACAGGGATGTGATTGACTTATCTGACAGTGACGAGCGCTAGAGGTCAACTTAAGACCGTAGGTATGCGTTCTTGTCATGGAATGTGTGCTGCAAATCGATTGTTTCATGCGTGTGAATATATGTCTGAATGTAATACTAATAAGGTTTTTAATTTCAACTGTGTAAGTTAAAATATGTGATAACATCGTATCTTTCGTACTCCGTAGCTTTTGGTGACCATTCGATCAGCTCCCTTTCCTTCCACTCAATGACGATGTAGCAGTTTGCCTTTCACACGCGTCATTGTCTTCCTAATATCGAAATCAACTGTAGCTACTCATTTTAGCAAAATGATGAACCTGAAAAATATATGAAACGCAGTTTCCGTTCGAGGCGCGTCGGCCGCCGTCGCCGCCTGCAGTGTTATCCTCGGCCCGGCCGGCGCGTTGTGTCCAAAGCATACCGTGCTGCCACCTGGCGAGACTTTTCGGAACTCTTAGCGCGAACATCCCCATTTCCCCTCCAACAGGGCGTGAGTGTCTAGGCATTCCTGTGGGGCACGGGCAATGACTATCTCATAATCATTGTGGCCATGAACGTCTGCTGCCATTCTTCAACACCGGTTTCGCTGCGCTGAGCGGTGGCCGTCCCGTTTGTTGGATTCTACAGCTGGCTGGCGGAAAGTGTTACCGGCCGCCCGTCCACCGCCCGCGGGCCGGACCGAGCGGTCCCGCTGACCCTACCTGACCTGAGCCCGGCGCGATATGGGACAGGCAGACGGGGTTCGACTCAGCGAAGGCAGCGCCCACTGGTGCTGGGGACTTTTTTAATAGACCTACTGTACACTGCGACATCCAGCGGCTGGGGCCGGTGCGAGCAGTGCGGTGGGAACGTCAGCAGGAGGATCCCGGTCGCTTGGCAGAAGCGCACGTCCTCCAGCGAGACGTGGCTCTCATGATTGTCCAGCAAGAGGAGGATGGGGTTGTCTTGCCTCGCTTTCGTGTGACGGACGACGTGTGGCAGCACATCTGTGGTGAAGATCTCGGCAGTCATCCAACCGGTCGCCGAATTCAGCGTCAGAGTCCCCGCCCGGTGGAGCACCCCGGCCCAGTCGATCGACGGGCACACGTGCAGGCGCGGGAACAGCAGGACCGGCGGGATGGTGTTCCCGTCGTTGGCGATGCAGCCGATCGCAGTCACCAGCGTTCCGCGCTCCGCGGCAGTGATCTACCCAGTCTGTTTTCGGCCGGTCGGCGCGAGAGTCTTGGGGCAGACGGCGACGTTCGTGATGCCAGTTTCATCCAGGTTCACGATCCGGCCGGGGCCGAAGCTGAATTTCTCCAGCAGGGTGACGAGGTTGTTAAAAAAACTGGTCCACCGCCTTGGCGTTGAAGCCGTTAGCCCGTGCCATCGAGGTAGCCTCCGGGCTGCGTAGTGACAGCTTGTTACGCCTCTGGAAGCCAGCCAGCCAGTCAGTGCCAGCTAGCCCACTAGCTGCCCAGCCTCGCGGAATGCTGACACCGTTCACCTGGGCGAAGTCTGCCGCCGCCCAGCTTCCTGGCTTCATTGCGACTGAGACCGTAGAAACGGTCAGTGCACGCGACGATATAATCAGTCAGCTCAGCCTCCTGCACCGCAGTGAACACTCTCCTTCTGCCCGGCCCTTTAGTGGTCCTGCCGTTCTTCTGACGACGCAGTGAGCGCACGGGGATGCCCGTTTCGGCAGGGACGTCCTTCATCAAGGCGCCATGCCGCACCCGATATACCGCGTTCATCAGCTGGAAGCGACTACACGGTCCGAGCTCCGCAAGCATGTAATTATAACGCAACCAGTAGTGCCCGCGGAGTGTAGAACAGTGAAAACGTGAAATGTTTAATTGCAACAACCACATTACATCTGCAACTTTTTAATAAGTGAAAATATATCCTATCTACAATATTTGCCAGTCTCTGTCCAAGGCAGACACATTAATAATTCAGGTATTCTAGGAGGCTGATCCGAAGATGGACATTGGGCAAGAATGGTCGTTAAATGACATGTTGGCTAAGAGGTAAGAGAAATGGTTGAAACATTTATTCTTTCGGGATCAATGTCTATTAAAAATCTATAGGTACTCATACTAGAAAGAATACGTATGTACAAGGAGATATTAA